TTTTTACACGGAACCAGGACACTCATTGATACAAAGCTTTGCATAAATACAAAGCCCACACCTTCCAGAAGCTGCTCTCAGCCAAGCAGATGGCTGCTGCTCTCTTTGCTATGGTTTGACCCTGTTAAATAGATACCCTTGAGATGACTTACAGCTTGAGGTGTTAGATCTATGCCCTTGAGATGACATCCAGGCAGCTGTACTTAGCTCTGAATCTTCAATCTACCAGCAAGAAACTGGAATTTTACATTGGTTTTCTCAGTCATGTGGCTGCAAATTCACTCTTTAAAGAAAACAGTTACTAATGAGTTTTTTTTTCTGACTTCTCAGTGCCCTGCTCTTTAATGAAGTTAAATACGTAGAAACACTGGCAGATCTTCAAAACATTGAAAATGTCTTGAAAGGGAAGTCAAACATGGTCTTTGCCTATGTACCAGCTACTGGGACAGCAGGTATTTACACTTATTTTTGTTCTTCTCTCAGAGCCTTTCTGACTGAGGTGCAAGGGAGCTGGGTGATCCTGCAAATGGAGGATCAAGGAAACCTGGAAGGGCCACCCAGACACAAGTTCTCCACCTCTGTATATCTTGCTGTGTTTCCAAAGGGATCAGTTGCACCAGAAATTTTTGCTGGGAGCATAAACTTTCAGAGATGGATTTGAGAGGGAAAGCAAACCAGTGATTGCTGTCTTAAAAAATAAATGAACCTGCAGGAAGATCTCTGGTGATGAGGTAGATGGCAGATAAAGATTCCCAAACTCCACCTGAGTGTTTACAGGGGATCTCAGCTTGGTCCAGCTCCAGCAACTCATCTTCATAGTCCATCTTCAGCCAGCTGTGTCTTCTTACCAAGAATTTCTGAAACCCTGGGCACTGATACTCACAACTGGGAAGGGAGAAGAGGGAGGTGTGGAGGGAGCTGAGGTGACTTCATCTTGCCTTTCTCTTTCCAGAGCACAGAGCTGTGATGGAGGCAGCTTTTGCCTATGGCACTGTCCACCAGTTTGTTCTGACAACTGAGGCAACGCTGTTGAAAGACAGTAGGTATGTCCAAGCACTCACCCAGCAGGCAGAGCAGCTCCCCTGGAGGTTTTGTGGCTGGCCCGAGATGGCACGCTTGCCATTTGGACAGGAATTGGCTTCCTGCTGCTTAAAGCAGAGGATGCCAGCAGGCCATCTCCTTAGCTGATGACACGGTGGTAGCTTCACCAACGTGAACAGCTTGCAGCCAACCAGGGCAACAGGCTTTGAGGTCTTAGTACTACACTCTACTCTTCCATAGAGACATCTTCAAACCAGTGATGGTATCAGAGCAGGAACAACTAACCAGGCAACCATCCAGGGAGCTTGATCTCACTGCTTCCTTTGGCACAGCCCAAACCAATGCTGCTCAAAAGGTGGAATACTCCTTTTACAGTCTGTGAGATGTTGTCAGTGAGGTAAAAGACATGAGCAAAGCTGTAGACTTTGTCTCTCCTCCTCCTGCCAGGTTCTCCACTGCAGTGGCATGTCTGGTCTCACTGAGAAAAGCTTCATTTGTGTCCTTCTCAAGCTGGGCCAACTGTTCTGAGGTTGGAATCATTTACATCTGCTGAATCAGGATCTTCATTAGATGTTCAGCACAATTCTGAAAGGACGTGAACACAACTGTACCTGTCAGTAGCAGGGCTCTTGAAGAGGTCTCACAATCCTCCCAAACCTTGGGAGCAAGGTCTCAAGCAAGAGACCTGGCTCATCAGCAAGCATGGTTGTTCTGTTGAGCATTTGAAGTCCCTGCAGTGGTTGCCCAGCTCAGCATGGCTTTTGTTTTGTCCCTCACAGCAACAGTGATGCACCATCTGCCCAGCTGTTCTTCTGCCACTGCCAGCAGGCCACGGACCTGACACAGCCCTGCAGGAGGACAGCCATGGGGCAGGCTCTGACATTGCTCAACATCCACAGGCACCTCAAGCTCATGGGGGCTCCGCTGGTGGTAGGGCTGGGAAAGAGGAGCCACTCAGGCTGGGGACGTGGGGGCAGCTGGAGTGGATGTGAGGATGAGGAAGGTGTGAGCAGAGGGTGAAGCTGAGTGTGAGAATCTGCCCCTTCCCTTTGGTGTTCATGGCAAAGCTCCCAGGTTGGGTCCAAGCAAGGAACAGGCACGGGGCTGGATGGGAACTACAATCCATTGCCCTGCTCAGCTGGCTTAGACCTTTCCGGGGAGCTCTGACACCAACTGGTGTGCTCCTCTAGTTGTCTGTAAGCACCATGATTTGGAGCAGGGTGGAGGTGCCACTTGGACTTTTCTGGGGCATATAGAATGGGAAGGAACAGAATGGAGTAGGATAGAATGGAATAGGACAGGCTGTTTCAGTTGGAAGGAACCTACAACAATCATCTGGTCCAACTGTCTGACCACTTCAGGGCTGGCCAAAAGTTAAAGCATATTGTTATTAAGGGTATTGTCCAAATGCCTCTTAAACACCCACAGGCTTGGGAGATCAACCACCTGTCTAGGAAGCCCTTTGCAGTGTTCCACCGCCCTCTAGTTAAAGAAATGCTTCCTAATGATAGAATCACAGGATCATAGAATTGTTCAGGTTGGGAAAGACCTCTAAGATCATGGAGTCCAACCATTCCCCCAGCACTGCCAGGTCCCCACTGCCCCGTGTCCCTCAGCACCACGTCTCCATGGCTTTGAAACCCCTCCAGGGGTGGGAACTCCACCACATATCTGGTCTAAACCTCCCCTGGTGCAGCTTTGAGCCATTCCCACGTGTCCTATCCCTGGATACCAGGAAGAAAAGCTCAGCACCTCCTTCTCTGTGTCCCATCCTCAGGAAGCTGTGGAGAGCAATGAGTTTGCCCCTCATCCTCCTTTTCTCAAGACTAGACAAACCCAAGTCCTCAGTTTCTCGTCCAGGCTCCCCACAGGAGGCTCTGCACCCTGGGGAGTTTGACACCAGCCATCCATGCCTTGGTTGAACACCAGGGATGGGAGGCTCTTTCCTATCTCCTCTTCCCATGGGGCAGTGACCTTCAGCAGGCCTCGAGTTCCCACTGGTGATACCTCTGCACAGCCAAAAGGATGGGTAGCTGAGCTGGGAAGTGCTTCCTTCAGCCAACCTCCTGGGTTAGCCATGGAAAGCACTTCATTAAGCAGCTCCATGCTTTCATGAAGCAGCACGTCCAAGACAGGAAGAGAGAAGATGCCAGCTCTTGCCTGTTGGGGCTGGGGTTTTCAAACTGCCCCGGGCAATGGATGCCAGGCAAATAAAAATTAATGGAGTTGCTAAGTCACAAAGAACATACATAATAAACCCCAGGTTTTTAACAGGGAGGGTCATGACAGGTTGGAACAGTTTAACCAGGGTTGTGTGGGTTCTGCTGGGATGGATGTTTTATAATAGGGCTTGGGGGCTATTTCTTGAGGATCTCCTTATCTCTGTGGCTGGGGAACACATGGTGGCTTGGGCTGTGCAGGAGGAGAACTGAGGTGCCTTCAACAGTGTGGAGATGTGCTGCACTATAACCATGTCTCCTCTCCAGACAGAGGTGGCTGAGGACCCAGAGAAGGTTTCCACTGTGCACTTACAGCTTGGGCTACCACTTGTGTTCATCCTCAGCCAGAAGGAGACCTACGAGGCTGACAGGAGGACAGCAGAGTTTGTGGCCTGGCAGCTCTTAGGGAAAGCAGGAGTGGCCCTTTTGTCCAGGTATTTGCTCTCGGGTGTTTTGGGCTTCTCCTTGGTTTTTGTGGTGTGTCTGAGCTTGGTTACCCCATTGCCAGGATGACAGTCCATGGACTTAGACACATTTGGATGAGAGGCAGTAAAATCAAGCTGGATCCTGCCAGAGGATGTCACGTTTAAGGACTTGTCCAGAATCAGATTAGTTTGGTTTCAGACTGCTTGGAAGTACAGAAACATTTGAGTCTCTTGCTGACTTAGAAGTGGAAAAACAATCAGACTTAGAGAGGTCTTGGAAAGGAAACTGAGCACGGGTGGAAGGCTTCTGTTTTGCCCTCAAATTAAGGACAGGAGAAGATCCAGTAAAGGAGGTGGCCTGTGGGTGCTGCATGTGATGGGGGTCTCCACTCAGACCACCACACTTGTTCCCCAGAAGGACATGGTGGTCCTGTGGAGATCTGGCTTCCTCTGCAGTTGACCAGGGGTTCCCTGCCTCTGCTCTGTGGGCTCAGAGCAGCCTCCTGTGCACCAGACTGCCTAGTGTTTGCAAACACTTCCGTGGTGTCTCGCCAGGGGAGGTGTGCAGCCCCTGCAGGCATGGTTGCCTGGCCTCTGAGAACGTCTGCTGGCAGCTGTGCAGATGGCAGGAGGTGGAGGAAAGGTGGGTGTGGGCTCTTACTCCAGCGTGCTGCTGCTGTGGCACCTCTGTGTGGAGGCACTTCTTGGCTGCATTCCACCAGCAGAGCAGCTGCACTGAGATCTGGCTGCCAGTGTGTGAGCAAAGATTCGACTCCAAGAAACATAGGGTGGTTTAGGTTGGAAAGGATCTTAAAGAACATCTACTTCTAACTGCCCTGACACACCTTCCACTAGATCAGGCTACTCAAAGTCCCATCCAACCTCACCTGGGATGGTTCCAGGGATGGGGCATCAGCCACCTCTCTGGACAACCTGGGCCAGGGGCTCACCACTCTCAGCAGCAAAAATGTCTTCTTTCTCTCTACTCTAAATCTCCCCTCTTTTAGTTTCAAACCATCACCCCTTGTTCTGTCACAACAGGTCCTGCTCAAAATTCTGTTCCCAGCTTTCTTCTAGATCCCCTTGAAGTCCTGGAGGGCCACAAGATCTCCCTGGAGCCTTTTCTTCTCCAGGCTGAACAAGCCCAACTCTCTCAACCTGGCCTCACAGCAAAGGGGCTCTAACTCTCAGATCACTGTTGTGGCCTCCTCTGTACCCACTCCAACAGGTTAAGTCCTTCTTACACTGGAGGCTTCAGAGCTGAAATCACAGAAAGTACATCCAAGCCCCTTCCCAAATAGACACGTGGTGCTGTGCAGTCCCACAGAAGGTCACCTGGAGCCTATTTTCCCACCACTGACATTGATTCAGAGTTCCTGCAAGTTCTTAGGGGGTCCTGAAGCATGACTCTGGGAGAGAGGTGGGCTTGCCAGCTGGGCAGGCTGAATGGTAGGGCTGACCTTGCACCTCCCACCACCTAACATCCACTTTGTGTTTTGGAAGGGACCTGGTGGATTTGAACGTTCTGCTCCGGTCAAACGTGGCTCTCAAGACACCAAATGAGGTTAGATGCTGGATGTGTTTGTTGTACCACTCACTTCCCTGGCTGGGCACAACGTGCTCTGGAGAGGTGCTGGGGTGTTGCTTGGCTCTCTTGTTGTTTGACAGCCTTCCCAGAAGCTCCAGAGGAAGTGTCTCTTCCCTAGATAGATGCATGTATTTGGAACTGCCCGAGTTTGCTACTGCAGAGCAATCGTGCCTGATGGTGGAGCTCAAATATTGAGTTTATTTTGGGTTCAAAACATCAGGTGGCATCTCTTTTACACCTTAAGGCAACACAAGGTTGAGAACTACCTAAGGTAGTAAGCCCAGGTGCAAATTCTCCAAAGATTTGGATTTCTAAAGACCCTTTCCCCCTTAGGAAAGATGTTCAGAAGATGGGGGAGGAAATGAACGTGAAGCCAGGAGCAAACTGAGAGCAAACAAGCCCAAAATCTGTGCTGATGTAACTGAGTGCCTCGGGCAGTGCTGGGGGAAAAGGGCAGGGTGGAAGTTAAACGAGGCTGATGGAGATGAACTAAACTCTGGAGGGACCTGACCCAGCTTGTGAGGCAAGCTGGAATTTGGTGCTGACAGATGCCAGGGAGCACACGTTGCCCCACATTGCCTGAACTGTCACACTGGGGATGGCACAGACACAGGATCAGACCTGAACCAGAGCATCCCCTGAGGGCTTCCCATGCCCTGCTGAGAGACGTGGGGGTTGTGTTGCTCCTCTCAGAGCCAAGGGGAGGTGCCAGCAATTTGTCATTTCTCTCAGTTCACCATAAAATTTATTTTCTCTGAAGTGCCTTTTGCTGGGACAGTGCCAGAACTGGTTTTAGGCCGACAAGGTCTCATTGCTGAGAAACACATTTCTGTGTTTTCTTTCCATGGGTTGGCAGCTCCTGGACACTTGGGAACTGCTCCTCTTGGGTTTGCTCCATGAGATAAGGGGGGTTTTATGTGCCAGTTTCCCAGGCTGTGGTGGGCTGCTCAGACTCAGCCTGGCCCCTCTAGATGGCAGACAGCCAAGTGGGCCCTGTACCTCCCAGCTCTCCTTCACTCTTTGGCCACTGGGCTTTTGCTTGCTGTGATGGATCTGTGTTAAGATGTCGGGAAGTGGAGTGGGTGTTCACCTTCACTGCTCCAGGCATAGGACCCCAGATAGCCACAGTGACTTCCAAGTGAGGAAAAGTCAGTCTGGAGTGAGAAAAACTTGGGCACAGATGAACTGGGGGCAAAGAAACCAACCCCACGTGCTCCCCTGTGTGACAGCTTAAGGCATCTGTTGACACAACCCCAGAAATAAGGAGCTGGGTGATGATGACCCATCAGGCTTGATTTGGTTTGCAGAAGGAATGGGCACAGGGTGATGTTTGGCTCCCACTGATTTATTCTGTTTTCTTTAGGGGGTGCCAATCAAATACCTGGCCTTGGAAGACACTGATGAAGTTATAACCCTAGTGGAAGATAAAAACAAGGTTGAACAAATCCAGGAGGATGAGGAGGAGGAGGAGGAAGAAGAGGATGAAAAAGAGAATAACAATCAAGGTGGGTAACTAAACAATGAAAAGCTGATTGTCCTCAGGGTGTGGAATCAGCATCTACTAGAGACATACAGGCATGTGTTAAAGCTTTAGAGGGCATTAATGTGCTTTTCCCAGGAGAGGTTGGCCCAGATGATCTCTGAGGTTCCTTCCAACCTGGTATTCTATGATACTTCTGCAGATCCAAGAAAAAAACATCACAGTCACATAACAGATGTGAAAACTGGCTCTTTCATTCTCTGCAGATCATAGGAGTTTAGTGACAGGCATAATTTTTAAAGGAGACACCAGAGAAGAAAATCAGCAGCTGTCAGAGGAACAGTTGCAGATGTGTGGCATGAGGGACAGGTGCTGCTTGAATACATCCAGCTTCAGGTTCCCCAGAGAAGCTGGGCATGCCCCATCCCTGGAAGAGTTCACAGCCAGGTCGGATGGGGCTCTGAGCAGCCTGCTCTAGTGGGAGGTGTCCCTGCCCATGGCAGGGGTTTGGAACTAGATCATCTTTAAGGTCTCTTTCAACCCAAACCATTCTATGATTCAGGGGCATGAGGGGTTTAAAGTGCACCCAATGCTGTCTCCTCTCCAAGCATCAGATGAAGAGCCTCCAAATTATCAGTTGCTTTGGAAAGATTTAAAACGTCTTCTTGAGGCATCTGTTCCAGACGTGCCTTCCCCAGGGACAAACCATTTGGCCTCTGCAACACTTCCTTGAAAATGCATTTGTTTTCCATACAAAATTGGCTTTGCTTTCCCAAAAAAGCAGTGCAGGATCCTAGAGGAGCCAAGATGCTTCAAGAGTAGTGTTCAGATCCAAGGACACAACTGGTGTGAGGTGGCACAAGAGCATTTCAGTCAGTTTGTGTCTGCCTGTCCAGACTCCTGCACACGAGGCAGTTACAGACTCCCCTGTGGGGAGTCACCATATCTCTGCTGAGAGGTGCTGGCTTCCAAAAACGTGCTTCTGGGGTGGCAGGAGGGGCTGTAGTTCCCTCTGCTCCGTGCTTATACGTGGCTCTGGGTCCCTTGCAGACATTCAGGATGATCAGGTGGTGGAAGCAGTTTCCAGAGACAAGAAGCAAGAGCTGCCCCTGGAGCAGACCCGTGTCCTGACAGAGGAGACCTTCCACTCTGCCCTCCTGGAGACTGCCAGGACAGTGGTCCTCTTTTATGCCAGCTGTGAGTATGAAATGTGGCCTGGCTCTCCCTTCTCTAAGCTTGCTTTCTATAATATGATGGTCCTTTCTCACCATGCTTTCAATATGATGGTCCTGTAGACAAGCTGAAATGTTAAATACATGCTGCCGTGGACCTCCGAGTTTTCCTTATTTCCTTTCAAGTCTTTTAGAGCTTGAAGCACCTGAGGATGGAGAGAACTGTTAGCTGAGATTGTCAGATTGCCACCTGCATGTCCCTCAGGGCTGTGTCTCTCCTGTGTTTCAGGGGAGGCCGTGTCCCTGGCAGTGCTGAGGTCTTACACTGAGGTGGCTGATCACCTGAAAGGTAAGGTGGCCCAGCTCTGAGTGCTTTACAGCTGGCACACACCTGCCCTGGCACTAAGAACCAGAACACTGAGAGGACATTGATGGTGTCTCACTCCCTCGTCCTGGGCTGCATCAGAAGTGTGGCCAGAAGGTCAAGGGAAGTGATTCTCTCCCTCTGCTCTGCTCTCATGAGATCCCAACTGGAGTACTGTGTCCAGCCTTGGAGTTCTCAGCACAGCAGAGATGTGGAACTGTTGGAGCAGGACCAGAAGAGGGCCATGAACATGCTCAGAGGGCTGGAACCCCTCTGCTGTGATGCCAAGCTGAGAGAGTTGGGGTTGTTCAGCCTGGAGAAGAGAGACCGTGGTCTGGGGAGACCTTCTTGTGGTCTGTCAGTACTTAGGGTGGGCCTCCAGGAAAGTTGGGGAGGGACTTTTTACAAGGGCTAGTAGTAATAGGACAAGAGGTAATGGCTTCAAATTAGAAGAGGATAAATTTAGGTAAGATATAAGGAAGACATTCTTCACTGTGGGATTGGTGAGACACAGGAGCAGGTTGCCCAGGGATGTTGTGGATGCTTCATTACTGGAAGTGTTCAAGCCCAGCTGGAATGCAGCTGTGAGCAACCTGCTCTAGTGGGAGGTGTCCCTGCAAATGGCAGGGGGTGGGAACTAGATGATCTTTAAGGTCCCTTCCAACCCAAATCATTCTGGGATTCTATGATTCACCCAGAATACACTAATTTTTTCCCCTCAAACTTTTAAGACATACCCACATCAGCTTGCTTAGTCTTCTCTTTCTCATTGAGGGATCTTTGTGATCCATTTTTGCCTCTGATAAAGTCATGAGACTGGGAATGCAACCTTCTGCAGTCACCTTACGTTGTTGGTGTAAATCAGGCACATCAGATCTCCTCTCCTTGGAAGTACTTGAACTGGAAAGGACCAGTAATTGGCCCTGGCTTTGGTGGAAAGCATGACAGACAGGTGCGGGCAGGCCCAGATCCACTGGAGGAGGATGGTGTCAGAGGAAGAATTTACAATGAAGGTGCCTTCAGGGCCTGGAGAGTGGCTTAATTACATGGCAGGTCTCACAGGCAGCCACAGAGCTCCATAAATAATACATGATGTTGAAGAATCAGCAGCACTTAAAGACAGCACACGTTGGGTAGGCTGGTGAAGGCAGGATGAAGTGATCCTTCAAGAAGGTCTGAGCAGTTCAGCTCCAGTTCAGCTTCATTCAGGTCTTTAGCCTCACTCCTCTATGGCTAATGGAGAGAGGTGGGTTCTTCTGGACATCCATCATTCTTACATGGGCTGCATCTCTTCCAGAGGTGCCTCTTTCTCCTCCTGGCTGCAGGCAACACTCAGGTGGCTTCATCCCCAACCCACTGCAGTGGCAGCCCTGGAGAAGGCTGGTGCTTTCTTTTGGCTTTTCTTCTCCATCAAGGCTCATTTCTCCTAGAGATGGCTCTCCCCTGGGCTTGGGCACCGTGTCCTGCAGAATGCAAGCAGGACTCAGGCTGAGCTCTCAGCAGTGGGGACATGTGTGGAGCCTGCAGAGGTCCCAGCCAGCTTTCTGGGAAGCAGATGCAGTGGGAGTTGCTTACAAGAAGCCCTCCTGGGAACGCCGTGGACAGGGCTGTGGTTTGGATGAAAGCAGTTCTGCATTCAGGGTTTGCATGAAGGAGAAGTCACCAGCAGCTTTGATCTGGCCTGAAATCCCAGGGATATAAACAGGGAGGGTTGTTGTGGTTAGAGATGTTATGGTTGTTGATGATTTGGGGTTTCTTTTAGACTCCCCAGCAGTCAGACCAGCTAGAGGAGTGACCTGGGAGAGTCTGTGGCTCAGACCCTGCCTCTTCCTGAGACAGTGGCCAAGCCTTGGCTGCTTCTTTGCAGCCAGGCTTTCACCATGTGTTTTTTTTTGAGTCATTTGATAACAATCTCGGTGCATGCAAACAGCCACAGGCAGATTCTCCACAGAGATTATGAACTGATTTGGGTCAGGGCCTTTCTTCTGTGATCAGTGAGGTCCCATCAAAGGCTCCCAGGCCAGATGTGACCTGTGGAATGACTCCAGTCTCCTCCCCGTGCTGTGACCTCGGAGAGGATGGGGGATGATTGCATTAGTGGATCTGGAGATCCTTTGTCTCTGCTGCTGAGGGAGCTGGAGGACCAAAAATAATGGGGGTCCCTAGGCTCTCCATGATGGCCAGGATGAGGGAAGACAGTGGTGCAAGGGACAGGAGTCTGGATCAGGAAGAAATGAGGATAAAATGTGGGGTATGGCTTTGGGGCAATGTCTCAGCTTCCCCAGAACCCGTGGTATTGCTGCCTGCTCTTTGGGGTGGAGCTTTCTTCCTGAGGGCTGAGAAGCCAAGAGCAGCTGTCTGAGGCATGAATCACCCACTCTGGAGGCACATTTTGAGTTGCAGAACCAGGTGCCACTTTTGGTGCCAGTTCTGTGTGGAAAATGGCACCGAGAACAGGACATGAGAGATGGAGCACAAGGGGACGGAGGAGGCTGGAGACTGGAATGACCCCCTGAATAATCCAGCCACAGATGTTCAGCAGATCATCACAGAATTAAGTTTATAGGCCCCCAAGTGTTTTGCCTTTGATGAGAGATCCAATCTAGGGAGAAAGAAAAGAGGAGGCTCTCTGTCTTGCTGGACTGAGCACGTTCTCTGCTCTTGCAGCACGAGCGTGCTGTTCTCACCACCACTGGGGCTCACGGCTGCAGCTCTTGTTTTCTTGCAAGACAGGAATTTATGGAAGGGACAGGAGAAGGTGAGACAGTGCTGAGCGTTTCCTAGGTGGGTCATTGGCCTGTTTTTGCAGAGAAGAGAGGAGAACAATGTCTAAGAAGAGCAAAAAGATGAAAAACAGTTCTGCCACAGGGCTGGAACCCCTCTGCTGGGAAGCCAGCAGGAGAGAGCTGGGCTTGGGCAGCCTGGAGAGGAGAAGGCTCCAGCTGGGGAGACCTGGGGACCCAGAAGTGCTTAAAGGGGCCTGTCAGAAAGCTGGGGCCAGACTTTTCATCCGGGCCTGTTGTGACAGGACAAGGGGTGATGGTTTGAAACTAAAAGAGGGAGATTTGGACTAGAGAGAAGGGAGAAATGTTGGCTGCTGAGGGTGGTGAGCCCCTGGCCCAGGCTGCCCAGAGAGGTGGTCGCTGCCCCATCCCTGGAACCATCCCAGGTGAGGTTGGCCGGGGCTCTGAGCAACCTGCTCTAGCTGCAGATGTCCCTGCTCAGGGCAGGGGGTTGGACTGGATGGCCTGGAAAGGTCCCTTCCCACCCAGCCCAGTCTAGGATTTGAGGATTCCCTTTTCTGTGCTTGTGGAGTCTTCTCGAACAATGACTTCCAAAGACAGGGGTCTGAAGTTGTTAGTTCAAAGGCATGAAAATTACCTGCATGATTTAGCAATGTCTGCTCCTGGAACCCAAACCTGAAATAAGGATTCTGGAAACCACTGTGTGATGCTGTCCAGGCCATCATTTTCCATTCCCTGTTGGATTCCTCCTCTTGAAGTGCAGCACTTCATACGTAACTTCTCTTCCATGTCATAGCCTTTGGACCAGCTCTTCAAGTGAGCTGTTTCTGATGCCACTCCAAAAGATCAGAAGTTTAACAGATTCTTGATTTTTTGTTGTTGTTCCCTGTAGCATTTGTGATTTGTCTTGCCCTGGTTTTCTAAGACCCCTGAGAGAGGTTCTCACTGTTGCTGGTTTTAATAGCACCTAAAATCAAAGAACAGTAGGGTCTTGTGTTCCCCTTTCACCTTTCTTCCCTTTCAGCAGCTTAGCAGTGACCACAGGGCTGAAAAGTCTGTTGCTGAGTTACTCAACTCCTGGAACTGCTGCTCATTCAGTCATTAATAATATGGTGGAGATTGGGATGGGAGAGTGATCATCCTGGACAAGGTGTTCCTCAGGCCAGATGGAGCCCCTTTGGAGCACTTTTGATACGTGATCCCTTGAGGTAGTATCCAAATACTAGAGCTCATATTTGAGGGACCTTAGAGCAGCTTTGGAACTCCATTTTAATGAGGCATCAAAGCCCTTTTCCCTGTCATTATTTTTCAGAGTTGGGCAAGACACAAGATGATGTGGTAAGAGATGACGAGAAGCAGCTCTACTGGATCAGAGGTGTGAAATAAATCCAGGGGCAGGCTTTTAATTTGAGATGTTATTTCAGAGCCCAGAGAGTGACACAAACCATTTCTGCTCTTGTGGAGTGTTTGATGCCTCCTGAGTGTCTGAGTGGAATTGCAGACCCTTAGCTGTGTGTTGCTTCTTGTTTTTTCTCTATGTGAGTTTGACACAAGGCAGAACAGCAGCAAAATTCCTCGTGGTAGCTGCAAAACAGAACCCAAAACAGGGGTTGCATTAGATGGTCCACTGGGATGCCAAGGACATAGGGGTAGGGGATAGGAGCAGAGGCTGAGGTCACCTCTGCCTTCACCCTTGTGTGTGAGGAAGTCTTGCTCATCCCTGGTGGGCACATTTCTAACCTGTGATTAAAACCCTTCTGCAGCTTCTCTGCTAAAAAGACTCATAGAGTCATAGAATCCCAGACTGGGCTGGGTGGGAAGGGACCTTTCAAGGTCACCCAGTCCAACCCCCTGCCCTGAGCAGGGACATCTGCAGCTAGAGCAGGGTGCTCAGAGCCCCGGCCAACCTCACCTGGGATGGTTCCAGGGATGGGGCAGCGACCACCTCTCTGGGCAGCCTGGGCCAGGGGCTCACCACCCTCAGCTTCAAAAATTTCTTCCTTAAGCTCAGCTTAACTCAGCTGTGCTTGATTCTCGATAGCTTTTGTTAATATTTGGTCAAACCTCCCTTCCTGAGAATGAGTTGTTGTTTGTCCTTGCCCAGCTGGCCACAGAGAGTGCTCTCACTGTTGCCTCCAGAGCAGACTTTACATATTGTTAGATTTTATTGTTTCTTTCTCCCAGGCAATTTCCAATCAAAAGAGACACAGTTCTTTGGGTTTTTCCTCAGGAGGCACGTCTTCCAAACTTCTCCAGAATGTCTGTCAGCTGCTTAAGCCTTTCCAAAAACAAGTTTCCCAGCCTGACTTGCAGGGATCTGCAGAGGTCCCACCAGGACAGAGGACCATCCTTTTCCTCCCATGTCTTGCAGACACTGTTGAGAGTTCATCCCAAAATGAGCTTTGCCCTTTTCTGCAGCACTGTTGAGATCTGTACATCCTGCTTCTTGTCACAGAATGCTGCTGCTGCTACACTCTGCTCTTCAGATTGCTTTCTGCCCCTTTGGGCTTGGGATCACTCGCAGGTTGGATGTGTGTGTCTTATTTCATCAGCCAGGTCTTTAATGAAAATAGTGATCAGAGTCAAATCTGGGCCAGACAGAGAGAAAAGATTGGCTGGTTGGATCTGCTGTACTCCTGAGAAATCCTCACCACCTGCCCTGGCTCTAGTTTCTGAAGGACACTTTGTGATAGTCAGCCTCCGTGTGTGTACTTGTCTCTAGTTTCATCCCATCTTTCCCATGTAACTCCTGAATCCTGTTCAAACAAATGCAGGGAAGGCATGAAGATTTCTGAGATACGATGCCCCTGCTGTGGGCATGGAAGATGTGTGGCCTGAGGTCTGTATGCAGCTTCTGCTGTCCCTGGGCAAGCCTGCAAGTAGGTAAGAGCCAGCTTGGGTAAGGCTGGCAACCCAGGGGTGGTGGCTAGTGAAGCCAGGGATGGCTCATCTGCCACAGGCTTAGCCATGGACCAACAGCAGTGTGTGCAGGTCTTTGCCCAGCCTGCATGCTTTAGGTAGAACCAACACTTCTCAATTCTGGGCACCTTGACACATCAAAAAGCCTTAAATGCATCAGCCTCTTCCATGCCAAACTTTATCCTCCCCCTTTCCTATAAGTGAGGGCCTGCATCAATTCTTTGGCTTGACCTTACTCCTAAGGTATTTCCAGTCCCTTTCCTTACTGCCTTTTATGCTCCTGAACAGTTTCCTCAGGGTTTCATGTTGTTCCTTTGAATAACCAGCCAGCTGTGAATGTCTCTGGGAATTTCCTTCTGAGAAGTGCAACCTGAGTTTCTTCCCTCTGTCGTCTGTTGTTTGGATCAATCCACACCCCCTGGGATATCTAATACATTCACAGACTGGAAATAGTTCCTCTCATGTCCAAAAGTGTAAGGCATATCCATGATTTCAAGAGGCAGATAACCTGTTCTCAAAGGGGTTGTGCCGTCAGGGCTGGAGTTTGACATCCTGCCCACGCAAAGCAGGATTTGACTCCAGGAAGGCTCCAGCAGCTTCTCAGCAGTAGCCCACCTTGGCTCCTTCCAGCTGCTAGGATCCAGCCCTGTAGGGTGCACGCCAAAGGAAACAGGAATTCTGGCAGCATTGTTACAAATATCTGTGATAATATCACAGAAACCTCTCTTTTACAGACTTTAAAATATTTTGGGTTTTGTTATTGATATGTATTTGGTTTCCCCTCTAGGAACTGAGGGGGTTTTGCTCTCTCGGGTGAACTGTTGGGACTGGCCTGGCCTTTGCACACAGGAGAATGTCACTCAGTTTCCTGCCATCAAGATTTACCAGAAGGGAGAGGGCTCTGTGCTCTACGGTGGCATGTGGGGCACTGCGGAGCTGACGAGCTTCATCATGCTGTAAGTACCTGCTAATGAGTCGTCCCCTCTCTGAGGTGAGATGGGCACATCTGCTGGAGGATGTTCTGGGTGTTTTGTGGCCTGGGTAATGGAAATCCTTTTTTTCATGAGGGTCCCAAGGATCTCAGAGCAGCCAGTTTGGCTCAGGGCTGTTGTCTTTCCCCCATAACCAGCTCCAGTGCCTTTCTGTGACTAGGAATTGTCCTTCCTTCCTTTCCAGGCAACTGATTTTTGTCTTTAATGAGTCATAGAATCATAGAATGTGTTGGCTGGAAGGGATCTCTAAAGGTCATCTGCTCCAACTCCCCTGCAGTAAGAAGGGACATTCCCAACTAGATCAGCTTGCTCAGAACCCTATCAAGCCTGACCTTGGATGTCTCCAGGGGTGAAACATAATGGTTGTCATACTGAGTTGGGGCATTGCTGGATTGAGGTTGCCCTTCTGTCTCTTCATCCCAAAAGGAAAGGTGGTGGCAGCCCATGTTGATTCTCTGCCTTTCCATAGGAGCCGAGTTTCCTGCCCTCTGAAGCTGGCCACGATTGATGAAGCAGAGGGATATCTAAGAGGAGAGTTTCCATCTGAGCTGGCATCCTTCCACCACACTTCACTTCTAGGGGTATTTAGCACAGCCACAAATGAAGGTCAGTGTGCTCTTGGTGGGTCAAGTACCCAGCTTCATTCCTGGTGGGAGTGGGATGATTCCAGGGCCTTGGAGATTCCTCCACATTTCATTCTTGTCTAATTGTGTTTGCTCACATCACAACCTGCCTGCAACCAGCCTTTTTATTTTTGCAGGAAGATAGATGTGGGACCTAAGAGGTCCCTAAACTGAGAGGACATTCAGCTGCCAGGCTTGTTTAGTACACCCAGTGTGGTAGCATCTGACAATCCAGAGAGTGAGACACAGTGCTTGGGGCAGTACAGAGAACAGCCCTTGGTGACCTGTCTCTGCAAAGAGATTTTTGCAGATATCCAATCTGAACTTACCAAGCCATGATTTGTGCCTGTTGTACCTCCTCCCCATTACCTTGAGGAGTTTGGCTCTTTGAGTCCTTTTCCAAGGAGTTGTAGGCTGCCATTAAATCTCCTCTTAGCATCTGACTGAACAAGCCCAGATCCATCAGCCTCTTCTTGTAGTCCATGTACATGTCACAGCATATTCCTTCTTAAAGAAAGCCCTTTCTGCTGCTGGATTGATAGTTATCTTGCTGACTCCTGCAAACATGGTAGTCCCAGTCCCTGAAGCCAACACACAATCCCAACCCTTTTTTTTTTTAAAAAAAAAAAAAAAAAAAGCAAAGCAACAATAAGGTAAAATGCAAATTTCTTAAATCAAAAGGAACAAAATGTGAATAATTCAATGAAAACCACTTGTGGACTTTGTAATAGATGGACACAGCCTCCAGAGTGGTGGACATCAGCTAGCAGTGCTAAGCAAAGTTGCTTAGAGACAAATTCAAACCAGTCTGGAACACTTACTTAGTAATCCTGGTCTGTACAGTCCTGGCCAAGGCTGAAACTTGGAGCAGTCACAGTCCCCCTCCCCTGGCTCTGCGTGGGTGCTGTTTGTCACTCAGATGCTGCTCCACAAGCATTTGTTGCACACCCCAGCTGTGGTCCAGGACCCACTGGGTTTCCACAGCCTTCCTGAAAGATGGGAAAATGGACCCCAGGGCTACAGTGGTTTTTTCATGTGGCAATCATGCACATTAGCAAGAGAGAGGGAGTGAAGTCAGCCTGGAAAGGGAACATCATGTCATGCTTCAGTTAAACCCTTGGTGGAGAGCTAGGACCTTCCAACCACATGGTCTCTCAGTTACCAGCTATGCCTGGGGATTAGTGCATTTTAAAAAAAAAAAAGGAGAGTTTTCTGATCTGTCTTAAGATCAAAATTTCAGACTGTTTTTCATTTTGAAGCTCCATTGTGCCTGTAAAGTTTGGTTAGATGCAAATCAAGCTCCTTTCTCCCATGAGGAGGTCCAGAGGGAATCCACTGTGCTCAGAGGTAGGAACAAAATAAAATGTCTGGAACCAACCAGAAAACACTTGGGCTGTGTTCACTGAGCCAGCTGACAGCTAACACACCAGCCTTCTTCTGGAGGGTCTAAGTCTGTTAAACAGAGCAAAAAATGTACTGATTTCTCTCTGGATTTCATCAGCTGAGCTCCAAAATCACCCCTCTAGTCCACACATTCCGCTCTCTGCAGTAGTGGAGCTTGAATTAGCCCCATGGGAGGACCCTGAAGAACATGGGAGTCACAGAATCCCAACATGGCAGGAGTTGGAAGGAACCTCTGGAGATCATCTCAGGCAACCCCCCTGCTCCAGCAGATCACCCACAGCAGGGTGCCCGGGATGGTGTCGAGGTGGGTTTGGAATCTCTCCAGAGCAGGAGACTCCACAGCCTCTCTGGGCAGCTGCTCCAGGCTCAGGCACCCTCACAGCAAAGAAGTTTCTCCTCCTGTTCAGGTGGAACCTCTTGGGTTCCAGTTTGTGCCCATTGCCCCTTGTCCTGTCCCTGGGCACGACTGAAAATCAGAGTCTGGCCCCAGTCTCTTTCCCCCATGGGCCCTTTAGCTCTTGCTCAGCATTGCTCAGATCCCCTCTGAGGCTTCTCTTCTCCAGCTGAACAGCCCCAGGGCTCTCAGCCTGTCCTGGCACAGAGATGCTCCAGCCCCTCAGCATCTTCACAACCTCTGCTGGACTCTCTTCAGCAGTTCCTTGTCTCTCTGGACCTGGGGAGCCCAGAACTGGCCACAGTCCTCCAGAGGTGGCCTCACCAGGGCAGAGTAGAGAGTTAGGAGAACCTTTCTTAACCTGCTGGCCACATTCTTCTTCACATACCCCAGGAGACCACTGGCCTTGGCCACAAGGGCACATTGCTGACCCATGGCCAACAACAGGACAGTGACAGGGCTTCGTGGAAGAAACCTGCCTGGGTCCAGCTGTACATGTGAGCTCAGACTCTTTCCTGTACAGAAGCTGTTCATTTCCTTGTGCAAACAAGAGTCTTGGAGGTTTGAGTTTGCCTCTTGCCTCAGGGCACGCTCGGTCTGCAGACTGGAATGGCATCTGCAGTCTGGGGTAACTCAGCCACAGATGCCAAGGGAGATGAAATACGTGATGCTCTCACTGCTGTAACCTGCAGGGTGTTCCAGCCTCGCGCATGACGCCCTGAGGGAGCAGGAAACTGGAGCCAGCTCTTCTGGCACCAAACCCAGGCCAGAGTCAGGGAAACCACATTGCTGCTCTTATCAGCCTATAGGCTAATCTGGAATTTTCAGTGATTTTCTTCTGGCAAGAATTCCTGCTCCAGGCTGAACAAGCAACGTGCCATGTCGTTGTCATTTCTAGTGAACTGGAACAGAGCAATGAGATGTCCAGTTAAATAAAGCCCTGGATTTTTATCAACACATCATCAGGACTATGTTAAGAAGCCCTTCAGTGGGTCTCAGCTAAAAGAGGCTTCTTGGAAAAATCAGAATGAAAATTTATTCCAAAGTGGTGAAATGGTGTTACAAGGGCAACGAATGAGCATTTTCCTGGAAACTTGGAGAATCAAACTTTGCTTGGAAGAGACCATTAAGGTCACTGAGTCCAACTGTTACCCCACCATTGCCAGGTCACCACTAAACCATGTTCCTCAGCACATCTCCATGGCTTGGAAACCCCTCCAGGGGAGGTATTTGTATGCTATGCAGAAACTAGAAGTATACTTGGGCTCTATCCTAAACTGTGCAGCAGATGTTTCAAAATACACCTGTGTTCTGCAAAGCTCTGGCACCATCAGAGGGCTTCCCAGCAGTGGTGGCATCTAACTGAAGGCAGCATGCAAGTTGCTGCAGGTACAGCTGGAGATCATGGCTTCATGAGATGCCTTCTGCTAGAGGGCTAAGGGGAATGCTCAGATCCTGCCTCCCATGGGGAATTAAAACAGTACTCTCAAGGAAGTCTTATTTTCTAGCAAATATTTAAATGCCTTCTGTAGAAGTTCTTCTTGTTTGTAGTGGAGCTGTGTGGATTTGGGGGGTTTCTAGCACAAAGCTAAGAGACCTTTGCTGTGAGCTGTTGAAAAATGAAGGCTGGGGCATGGGCACAGTCCCCAGCGAATGGAAAAATGTGGAAGTGTGGTAGGCAGGGAGGATGTGATCAGGAGGGACCCTGATGAAAGGAGCAAGCCTGGACTCTGCTGTGGGTTGTCCTGATTTAAGAGGGAATTCCTGCAGCCAGGGCAGCGCTTCAACACGGGCTTATGTCTCAAGTGGGTGTTTAAAGTTAAATGCTTGTAGAAATGCTCTCCTGAGGAAGTTTTGGATGTGAGCCTGCTCTTCACATGTCAGGCTGTGTACTTCAGTGCCTAATGGCACAGGACACCCTCATGCTCTGCCCTGTGGCCTCTTCTCCAGTAGCTGGGCTGTGGGCAAGTTCACAAAGGGTAGGCGGATGAAGTCCTTGGTGATCCTTCTCAGCTGGTCCCATGATTTGTTTTTTTTCTCTCAACACTGAAAAAATCAAGTGATCAAAGAGCTGGCAACCAGCAGCAAACCCATCCAACAGTGGTTTCTCTGCATCACAAGATGAACAAGCTGTGTCACTAGCTTTGTTGTGTGTGTGTTGTCTCCTGAACCCTCAACGAGCCACTCTGATTTGGAAAGGAAAACAGCATGAAGGAAAGTTTATGATCCCTGTGGTCCCAGGGAAACAGTGGAAAATACAGCTTTGAGTGTAGCTGGAAAGCAAGAGGAAAAGAACCAAAAAGTAACCAGTTGTGAGCCAGCCTCAGTCTCTTGAAGTCTTGAGTCACTGGTCCCCAGAGCTTGGGCTGGCCAGTTCTGATATGATGAGGCATGTTATGAGGAACACTAAATGGTATCTGACGAAGATCTCATTGAAGTTATAAAGCAACATATTTCATGGCTGCATCTGAGATGCAGCTTTAATTCTCTTCTCCTTTAATACTCTTCTCCTGAGGGTGTGATTTCTCACTCCCCATCAATCGGAAG